CGAGGTGGGCGTTGGGGGGGACTCCCTGCCATTGGCTGAGCACCAAAGTGTGTGTGGGGGGGCAGTCCCCAAGCCATGGGTCCCCAGCACAGGGCTCCCCATCCCTGAGAGTGACGCCTGCCCCTGTCCTGCTCCTGCTCTCGCTGCTGGTGCTGGGAGAGGCCATGGCCGGAGGATGGGGTGTCCTGATGCTCCTGCTCGCCCTGCTGGCCCTGCAGGACACGAAGGCTGTGAAAGGTGCGTGGGGCAGGTCGGGCTGCGGGGCGAGGGCAGGGGAAGGGCATGGGGTGCAGGTTGAGGGGCTGGTGTCAGATCAGGGTTGGGGCAGGGGGAGCTCTGGGTTCACTCCAGGTCCCCTGGGTATCTCAGGGCCCCCAGTGCAACGTGGGTTCCCAGGGCAGGGTGGGTGTGAGGTGGTGCTGGGGGCTCAATGGTTATCCCCTCCTTCCCTCCTGCCCCTCACAAGCGCTCCAGCGGTGAGGCTCAGGTGTTACCCCATGACCACGGGCATTCCGCTATGATGGCTCTGAGGTCCTCCCCCAAGGTGGGGGGCACATTGGGGGGCACCGTGACCCCTGGCATCCCCACCCCATCCCACAGCAAGTCTGGAACAGTCCAGATCTCTGTGTCCCCTCAGCCTGGCCTGTCATTGGCCCTGGCCGCAGGGACTGCAAAGGGGAAGGTCGCAAGGACCCATGGGTAGCCCCACAGCTGCCCCTCATGCCTGTCCATTTGCAGTGGGGAATGTGATCACCCAGGTTGACTTATACCAGCGGGCTGAGACGCTGCAGCAGGAGGGTGGGCAGTTCGTGTTCGACTTCAATGGAGACGAGATGTTCCATGTGGATCTGGAGAAGGCAGAGACCCTCTGGCGCCTACCTGAGTTCGCGGAGTTCACCAGCTTCGAGGCCCAGGGAGCTCTGCAGAACATGGATGTAATGAAACAGAACATGGAGGTCGCCATTGAGAGGAGAACCCGCTCCCAGGGGACGATCGGTAACAACCCCGCCATGGCACAGCCAGTGCCCTCTCACGGACAGGGCCCTGCTGGGGCAGAGCCCTCTCACACCCTCGCACCTGGTCCTCTGTGGATGGTGTCCCTGGGTGGGCTGTGGGGCTCACTGGGGCCTTCTCTATGAGCAGGAGCCCCAGTGCAGCCCCAGTTACTTGGGGTCACATTCACCTCAGGACTGGGGCATGAGTGGCCCTAACACCTTCCCCCTGACTCCCTAGAGCCACCTGAGGTTACAGTGTTCTCTGAGGATCCAGTGGAGCTGGGCGATCCCAACGTTCTCATCTGCTACGTGGACAAGTTCTGGCCATCTGTCATCAACATCACATGGCTGAAGAACGGGCAGGAGGTGGTGGACGGCATCTTCGAGACCGTTTACCTCCTACGGGACTACCGCACCTACCGCAAGTTCTCCTACCTGCCCTTCG